TTTTTGCAATGGAATGAACACATCTCGGTCTCACACCACTCAATGAGCACAAAAGACACCACTTGCAATGGAAAGGTGAACAAATACCGTAAGTCACTCTTCACGCCAACACTGATCGACCGAAGATGCATCGAAAACGCTTGCCGGGCCACCCTGGTGAGGACATTTTGCATCCGTGACATACACGCGGTCTCGATGCTGCGCGGCCGGACCCACGTTGAACCAGAAAAGCACCTGCTGCTTAGTGGGCAGCTGCACCTGCCGGTGAATGAAGATTGGAGTGTCAAGGAATGCAGGTGTTCGACATGGTGCACAAGTATTTTTTTCTCGGCATGTGTAAACAGCAACGATTTCAGGACTTGTTAAAACAATAATATGTATAGCCAGGAAAAACGCAAAGCAAGCCAGTCAAACTGCAAACCTAATCCCATCATATCATATCCTAATTGTAATTTTATACACATAACTATATCGCTACTTTTCACACCCCCATCCTGGAACCAGCACTTCTGGAAGTGCGAACGCAAGAAAATGAACCCCGTCCGTAGATCCCAACACACCGGTTTCACACGTTGAACTAAACCGAAGCCCAAACACTCATCACTCATTTCCACCATGTTTCAACGCCCAACGCCACGCCCAACGCCGGCTGTTCGGTTCGCCACCTGGCGCGCAGGTGGCGGCATGCGCCGGAGCACCTCGTTGCGCACGCGGAAGTTTCCAGCCGTGGCAGCCTAGGAGAGGGAGGCGCGCCACGGCGGGTCATGTAGGGTCAGGGCGGGTTCACGGCCCGACTTAGGCGGGAAGCGGGAAGGAGACAAAAAGGACTTGGTTTATCATGTATGGGGCCCTATGACTCTTTGTTCAAAGATGTTCAATTACACAGTGAAAGGACTTGGTCGCTGCAAAAACTGTATCGAACTGTCAACATGTTAGTGGAACGGTCAATGGCCTTGTCAGTGCATTCCCCGAAACAGAGTCATTTTACATTTTGGTGTGCGGTCCTTTTTTGGGTGACTGTTTCATGGCTTGCTTAGACGGCACCCAAGTGTTGGTCTATCTGGTTTAACCAACCAACCAACCAACCAACCAAGCAACCAAGCAACCAAGCAAGCAAGCAACCAAACAATAGACCTATATAATATATAATGCGGGCGAAGGAAGGCTAGGGGTAGATTCATTTACCTATACATCGCACAACTAAGTGGTGTCCAACCATCAGCTACGGACCATCTTGCTTCTTCAGCACTCTACCTCCTACCTAACCGGACCGGACGACCGCAGACTGCGACCGCAGACTGCGACCTCTGCGACCCGATTGTCGTCGCCCCAGAACTGCGGAGCATCTCCATCACCTCGGGAAGGAGGCGAAACAAGGTCACCTGTTTCTTCGTAGTGTCCTTGTGAAGGTTCCTTTACGTGACCCTTAGGAGGCTGAACCAAAATGACCTCAAAATCACTTTGAAGAATCAGGCGACTAGCACGAAGAAGGTCTGATAGAACTACAGAAAACGTTCGGGGTGACCAATGGACAACCCTACACTGCTTATGGGTCGACGGGACGCCCAGACCGGAAGCGCTATAGCTATGAGGATGACTTAGGATGACCTGCTTTCGTCGAATCGATGGTTCTTCGGGATTCTGGGCCCTAGGGATCCAACAAAAACACCTACGACGACCTACGACACACACCCCATGGATCTTCGGCCCAGCAGCGACGCGATCTGGGCCGACGTCTGTTTCGACCACGGTCGACGTCGTGCGGTTTTGATCGGGTTTCTTTCCCACGACTGACCCGTCACGTTGATCGGAGTCTGGCGGAGATCACTGTCCCAGGCCACGGAAAGTGCACGTTGTTTTGTTTGACCATGTTGTTTGTATACCAGCACCCTCCAAAAGGATCCAAAAGGTGTCTCCTGGTGACAACAGGTGTCCATAAACCACCTGTTAGGGTTTCCAAACAGCCTGTTGGAGGGTCCTGGTACATGTTTTTACTCACATGTGGGGCTACTCTCGGTGAACCTCCTGTGTCATAGCTTCCTGCCCACTGCTCATTTCTTCTCGAAGCGGACACGATGCGACAATGTGTCCCCACCTGAAATCCGTACACGGAAAGGAGACAACTAGTATACGTGGAACGTGTTTGGGGTAGTGCTATTTCGCTTTGAAACCAACGAGTTCCGAGTGTTTCCAAAGTGGAGATTGATCTCTCAGGAAGCCTTGAACATCCTTGACAAGCAAAACATGACACGCATCATTGTTTTCATCTATCCGCCTGGAAACCCGCTTTCCACATAGAACCACATAGAACCACCAACCACTGTTTGGGTCTTTGGGTTTCCATCTATGACACACCAAATGAGAGGTCCTCTCTCCTCTCTCCACACGGCCACGTGGCTCAAGGTGGATCTCAAAGTGCGCGTGGCCGGACGCACGGACGACCTGAGCGGCATCGGATGGCAGTCGGGCGGGTTACACGGGTTCGAGCGCACTGCGCGCGGGGACCAGGCGTATGGCAGTGAAGCTGGCCCAGGTTCCTGCTTCTCCCCCAGCTATATGACATCCCAGGTCCGGATCACGGGTCCGCGTCACAGAAGAGTCCTCGTCGAAGGTTTGCAGACCTTTGGGATTTGACCGCCCTGATGGTGACACACGTAGAGCTTCCCAGAAAAGCGAACGAACAGCTTAGTACAACTAATGAAACCACCGTTGGACCCAGCTTCCGCATTCTCCCTCTAGCCAAACATCTGAACATCTCAACATTCACCAAACTGTTTGACCAAACTTTGGGATGTTTGTGGAAAAACAGGGAAACACTTTGAGATTTCAGTGGAAACAAGCTGGAACAAACATGGAAAAACTTTGGGATTTTGGTGGAAACAAGCTGGAACAACCATGGAACAACGGGATTTGAGTGGAAGAAACATGGAACCAACACCTTCCAATCCCATCCGTTCTCCGTTCGCTCTTTGACCCAGCTCAAGGAACTCTTTGACCAGTTGCTCAAACGAGGCGATCCACTGACGTCCGTCCTCGGAAGTCGGGAGATGGGTGAGTCAAATGGGTGGGTACATGCACAGAAAGGGATCCGTTCCTGTAGAATCCATTCTATGGTTATATAGATATACATCTTCAGGGGGGTCTATAAACCACCCCTTGGGTGGTGCTGGTATATGGTTATATAAATATAATATATATATTTTTGCTGTGAGAGGGGTGATTGGAGATATGTTGATGGCGCCAGGAGGGTCCAGTCGTACCTTCTGAGAAGGTGGCAGTGGATCCCTACCGATGATGTGATGATCTGTTTTGGAGAGTTCTGCTGTTTGCCTTTTTGCCTGCCATAGCCCATAGCTGTAGTATCACAATGCAGGCAAGGGATCACATCAGTTGAAGGTGTCCCAGTTAAAGGAGGTGTCCCAATTGACCAGTAACAATTTGAGAACGGTCTACAAGCCATCATCCGCCCTGATAAAAATACCCAATGTATGGTTGTGCAGGAAGGCCGCCCATGTTTTTTGAAGTTGGAAGTTGCAGAAAATTGGAGACACACACTTATGATTGTCACATGCTTGGGAGCGAGCACACGGGCGGACAAAGTGAAGAGGGAGCGAGCAGCGGGTCTTCAACCCAAACACCTGGTGGCCGCTCAGGAAAACGCAGGTCTTCGATGTGTTCTAGGCCCCTGGTCTCCCCCAACCGGAGATTCGACCTTCTACGCTTCGAGCTGAGAGACCACCAGATCACTACACTTCTGAATCTCCGTGGCGACCCAACCTGACAAATGAGAACAAAAACAACGAGAGGCAGCCCGCACAAGCACGAAACACGAAGGCTTGATCACTGCAGCTTAAAAGGTGCAGCTTTAGGAGTTGGAACTGACATTTTCTGAAGTATATAAGGATGCTATAGGTCTAGAATGGTTGTTAACAAGTTAGACCTGCTGACTGGGTCTTACACTACGACCTCTTGGAGGGTGTTGCTCAAAAAAATGGTGAAACAAAACACACATATAATATATCAATATGACACACCAAGAATCATCAAGAATCACATCTCCAAGGCTCCCATCCCAGTCATTCTTGTTGAACCCACTAGCTGCACTGCGCCCTCCAAGGCTCCGCAATCGCCAATCCCAGTTTTTGGTCCCCGCATGTGTTCGTTCGAAAAAGCAAGACGAGCCACGCAAAGGACGTAGTGTACACTACTAGTAGCAATGCCTTGGTAGTATAGGTACGTAAACTATAGACATCGATCGGACCCCATACAAGTATGTACGCATCAAGCTTCCACGCAAATGTCAGCATTATTCGAGTGGCAAAAGGAAGAATCCTGCTCGTCGAGGAAAAAATCGGCCACGACCATCTCGGAGACTGCAAAGCGTTGAGCTTTAATTGCGGCGCTTGTTTTGTAGAGCATTTATAGGGCCACACTCTAACATCTCATATGATCCTCATAGAAATAATCTCTGTTACTGGACCCAGATATAGATATACTTGTGAGGTGCGTTTTGGAAGCGAGGTTTGTCCTTATATCATGAGCACTCAAGAAACGTATGATACTTCTGGGGGTTGAACTTCGTCCACGTTTGGACACTTTCGCAAAAACATGATGATTGCAAGTGAACCCCCGTCATGCGGCCGGCCACAGTCGGGGCATCCCTGTGGCAAAAGCCTTGAGCCGACAACATCAAAGTCCAGGATTTCAGATTTCGCAGCCACAAGTCGCATGTAAAGCCAAACAATTCACCATTGCACAGTATAATAGACATTCCTGGAACCATGACGCACTATGAACATCAAACATCCACCCCAACGCCTTCCGCCTTCGACCGAATTCCTGGCGTTCCCGTCCTGACCGTGCGGCTGCCTGTTTTCTTCGACGCTTTTTCCTCGAGCTTCCCAACTCGCTCGGCTTCCCAGCGCCGTCGCGGCCGGTGGCGAGGCCAGGTAAAATCCCAAGCGGATCCTCCAGCACCTCGGATCGAGTGACATCGAAAGCCGGAGTTTTATGGTTTCATGTTGTTGTTGTCTATAGGAAAAAGCAGTTCAACCTGCGTTACAACAAACATGTGGGGTGACCTACTTTTACATGCCGGGGTTGGAATCCCAAGAAGGTCAGTCTTGGCTCTTTGACTCCGGGGCTCTGTTCACCGACTCGCTTCAGCTTCACCAGTTGTCCCCCTTTCTGCTGCCCAGGATCACCATCCTGCCAGCTTGGGTTCTGCTGTGCAGAACGTGGCCTGAGCCTGGACGGCGTTGGACCACCCGGTTCGCTTCGGTGGTTTCGGCGAGCTAGGTGCGTTGGACACTTGAGCACGCCAACATCGCCACGCCCCGCTGATTGACATCCAAATCCAGTTTTGCCACTCCCATGTAACCCCTGGAAGTGTTTTAAATAGTTAATCCGGTACTTCTACGTATAAAATCCTTAAAACCATGTGGTTGTTCGGGATTCAGGCTATTAAATAAAAGGTGGGCCACGACGTCTTAGGGTAACAGTGACGGTTTCTTAAGGGCCAGTCAATGCTCCACTTTTCCAGGACACCTCTCGGTTGGTGCGGTTTTTGCCCATGCTCTTCCTATTGTATATCATATATATATATATATAATACCTGGAACCCCAAACGATCACCGTTTTTTGAGTGCCAATCAGTTTTGAGACGCCACATGGCATTGGTGTTCTGTTTTTGGGCAATATATATATTAGAGCGCACGACCTTCGCCTCTTCAGAGCTAAATCGGGGACGATGGAGATCTTGGAGAATATTCATCACCAGTTTCAGGGGATTTACTCACTTCGGGAACACCACACATCAACTCACCTGAATCCGCCCGGTTACCAAAGGGGTTCGGTCCAAACCTCGGGTTGTAGTTGCTTTGGGCTGACCCACCAGCATCGGCCTGTAGTAGACCCAGTGCCTCCAACTGCAACTCCTGCTGTGCACCGGGCGTTGTGGATCCTTTGGGTCCCAGTCACATGACCACCGGGACTGCCTGTATGGACTGCAATTTGGGTGGTGATTTGGGGGGTCAATGTATATGTGCCAGTCCCATGGAGTGTTTGGGCATGTGTTTCCTCTTCTCTCTCTTATTTCTCCGCGAGAAGGGCTAAAGGACGTATATCTCACCCCCTAAAATGCTCACTTCACACCTCACAAATGGGCCTTGTTGGTGTCTTAGGGCACATGTTTACAGGTAATACTCTGTTCCCGCGCTTTCCTTTGTAGAATGTGGTATGTAATAGAATGATTGTATACTTTCTTGGTCTTTCCCATGGCCCGGTTCGACACGTCCTTTGGATGTTGTTTTTACTTCTGCTGCTGCAGTCGGACGCCTTCAAGGCACCTTGCTTCGGGGAAGCCGAAACACGACCGACCGACTGGGACTGGTGACGTCCACCGACCGTCGTGCACGAAAGGAAAGCGACGTTCATTCTCCAGGATGGCCAAGCAAACACGTGACTCCATGGATCTCTCCCCCCCTTCACCCCAGCTTCACCCCTCTACACATCTCCAACCGCCCCCACACCGCCAGCGCGCCAAAACACAACGGCGCAGCGACACTAAAACAGCTCTCGCCGCCGGTCCAGTTCTGCGAACGGCGATGGGCCAACAAGGGATGCGCAACCTCGGTCGATCGGTCGCGATGCGGGACGGTCGGAGCGATTCGGGGGCGGTCGTTGAACGTGCCCAAAATGGCGGGTGTCATCGGGGTTCAATCTATATATGTTTGAAGAAGTGCCATCCATCCATCCATCCATGTAGTCCATCCATCAATGGAAAAGTGTCTTATTGGTCCTCCAATTAGAAACAAGTGCCAAAAAGGAACTTGTTAACTATTTGTGACCCTTGCCCAACTTGCAATCCACTCGATGTTTTGTTGAAACATGCCCCTGTCCGGGTCACGAACTGTAACGAGGAGGCACACACATGCCACCCTGCGTTGTTTTCAGCGGGGCATTTTCGCCAGACCCACGATTTTTTGTGTGTCTCTGCCGCCTGCATCGTTCTTGTCTGATACTTTTGGGGGACTCAGCAGGAGGAAATCAAACAAATGCGTTTTGACAAGCCTTGAAACCTATGGCAAATCCAACATTGTCACTGGACATCCAGCGTTTCCATCGTGCGACTCACCCACCTCCTTTCTCATGTTGTAAATCTCCAATTTCATGGACGTCTCTAGTTATATACCACCCCAACTCATCGCAAACCCCCCAAAACACCCCGTGTTGCCCTCCCACCCGCCCCACCCCTGGCCACCCACACCTCGTGTTGCCCCCGCTCGTTTCCCGATTCGCCCCGAGCGGCCAAAAGGTCCGCTTGCCCCAATGGCACCATGTGTGGCGATCCCAAGTCCATCGGTTCCACACGGCCTGCGATTCCGAACAGCGACTTGACTAGTCGCCGGCTATGCCGAAAGAGTCCATTTTGTTCGGCAGAGTAGACTTTGGTGACTAGTCTTAATTCATTTCATATATGTTTTTTCTGGAAAACAAGGGTACTTTGGAACCAAATAGCGGGGCAAAAACAACAATTCTACGACTTACGCGGATCCACCAGGTCCCGCACTGTTTTCGCGTCTAAGGAAATGTGTGGCAATTCGAATGGGCCTTGGGAGAGTGGAAATTCTCTCTTCGGGCTCTTCAAGCTGAAGGGTGCGTTCCCAGCACAAGGTATACACAAGTCCGGCCCTTCGAGAAATTACTTCACTTCGAGTAATCCCCACCGTGACATCTCAATCTGACAATCTTTTGGGGCATGTATTGAAACAATGTGTTGGCATTCTGTCTCGCACATCTTCTGACATTATGTCTGACATTCTTACTGGCATCTTGTCTGACATTCATTTTGGCATTTTATCATATTTTATCTGTATATCTTCTGACAGTCTTTCTGGCATATCTTCTGACACTATTTCTGGCATTCTTCCTGGCCTGGCATATCTTCTGACATTCTTTTTTGCATATCTCCTGACATGCCTTCTGACATTCTTTCTGGCATATCCTCTGACATCCTATCTGGCATATCTTCAGCATATCTTCTGACATTCTTTCTGGCGTTTTATCTGGCATATCTTCTGACTGGCGGTTGAGGTCCGGCGGAGAACACTGCCGTCCTACACTTGCGGTTGAGGAGGACGAGGAGAAGGCAGAGAGGAGAGAGGAGAGAGGAGAGAGGAGAGAGGAGAGAGAGGAGAGAGGAGAGAGGAGAGAGGAGAGAGGAGAGAGGAGAGAGGAGAAAGGAGAGAGGAGAGAGGAGAGGGGAGAGGGGAGAGGGGAGAGGGGA